TTTCTGAAAATGAAAAAGGCTGAATTAATCCTGGGCTGACACGTGTCATGCTGGGGTTGGTCCACGTGGCTTGCTGATGTCAGCATGACGTCACCTCGGCCGAGCTGCTATTGACAAGTGGGTCCCACATGACGTCAGCATCTGACGTGTGGGTCCAGTGTGTCTGTGCCACTGACATGTGGGACCAAGTCAACAGTCATGGTTGACCAGTCATCGGTCAATACGGGCCGGGTCTCAAACTGGCCTGGACAGGGCTGGATTTGGGCCGGTCTGGGCCGGGCTGACCCGGACACGTGGCGTGCTGTGGCGCTGCCACGTCACGGCCTTGGGCCTCCACTGGGCTGTGGTCGTCGGCTGTGGGCGTGAGCGTGGCTCACGGTGGACCAAGAGGCGCTGGTCCATGGACCTAAGGCAGGGTCCTTGGTGGACCAAGTCCACCGTTATTTTCCTCGGCTCGGCTCTTGTGCACCGGGTGCAAGGCTGCGCTGCTCAACTCGCCCCTCCTCCTCTGTTTCTTCCACGGCGCGCTTCCGCCGGCGATGTACTCACCGGCGAGCTTCCACAGCGGTGCTAGCACCTAATTGGCGTGGGAAAAAGCACCGTTAGGCTTTGGCGACTGCGATGGTGGTGTCGGGGCGACGGCTAGGACTCCCTAGGTCACTGGTCATGGCGAACGGTGGCTCGAGCACAACCGGCGTGCGAGGGTGGCGCGGGTGCAGCGGCATAGGCCGGGTCTATGGTGCGCGTGAGCGTCATAGTGCTCCAGCAGGCATGTTGGGCAGGTCGAGGGGTCCTCCAGGGCCTCCGGTGGCCTTGGCCACGGCGGTGGCCTTTCGAGCACGACGGCGGCGTCGGTGTGGGGCTACGGCCACGGTGAAGCATCTCGGTGGGGTGCGTAGGCTCCTATGGATCTGTGGGGATGCGGCGAGGACGTCCAGGGCTCAAGGCGGGGTTTCAGGGTTCCAGGTGGCCGGTAGGGGCTTCCCGACGGCCACGACGACATGGTGACGACGGCGAGGCGCACGGGTGCACTACGGGGCTCCAGCGGGGTGGTCACGGCGTGCGCATGAGTTATCCGTGACTCCAACGAACAGGATGGGCGAGACGAGGAGACGCCAGGCGCTCCTAGCAGTACTGGCCACGGTGGTTGGTGCTCTGACCGGTGGTTGGGTGCTCGAACCGGTGGTCTAGTGCTTGGCACGGTGGTCTGGTGCTCGGACCGGTGGTCACGTGCTCGGACCGGTGGTCTGGTGCTCCGGGCGGTGGTCTGGTGCTCTAGCCGGTGGTGGCCACGCCACGACGGTGGCGTTGCGAGCGCGATGAGCGAGTGCTCTGCCTTGGCGTCCGTGGGGCTTGGAGGGGTCTACAACGTCCAAGGGCTCGGAGGTGGTCGCGGTGTGCGCGTGAGTGTGCCATGCGTGTGTACCCGGTGGCCAGAGATGGCCTTGGCCTACGCGCTCACGATGTGGAGCGCCATGGCCGACACGGTAAGGTCCGGCGGCGAGCAGGGAGAGGACGGAAGGCTCACCATAGGTATTGAGGGCGAGAGGATAGCGGTGCAGTCAAGAGTCAAGGCCATGTAGCTCCGGAAGCCGTGCCATGCAGTGTCGTCCGCTCCGGCTCCGGTGATCTCCCGATCTTCCTCCCGATAGGGGCTCCGGTATTTCCTTTTTCCCCCCTTCTTCCTCTCCTCCCTCTTCTCTCTTGGCTAGGGTGTGCTGTGGACGGCCACAAGGTGGTGGCGGGGCACAGGAGAGCGCTAGGGCAACCGAGGGCTGTGGCTTTATAGCCGAGCTCCGAGCTCCAATGGCGGACGGCGATCGAGCGGTGGAGGCGTGATCAGTGGCATCCAATGGCTTGCGTGCGGTGGCGTAGGAGTGGCGCAAGGGTTGCGTGGGTGCGGCGCCAAGGAGACAGGGCCATGCCCCTGGCGTGAACTCTGGCCCGCCCTGCCACCACTATCGGGTGCCGGTTGCGTAGGCGGTTGAGGCGTGGGTGAGGAAGACGACATCAGAGACGGGTGTGTGGTGACACGCTGGGTCCAATGGGCAATGGTCATGGGCGAAGAAGAAGAAGGGCGCGGCGGGTGAGCAACGCTATTTGGGCCGTGAGTGGGGTGGCTGGCTAGCTTGGGCCGAAAGGGTGGCATGAGGCCCACTTCTTTTTTCCTTTTTCTATTTTTTCATTTCTTTTCCATTGTTTGGATTCAAATTTGGTTTAGAATTTGAATTCAAAACTGAGGTAACTTATTCATTGGAGTTTAGAGAATTTTGTTTAATAATATCTTTATGGTTCATTATTTTATTGGAGTTGTTTAGCAAATCATAACTCAAATGGAAATCCAAATCACATTTTGAATTAACAAGGTATGCAATATTATATTTGTTAGAAATTAATAAACACGGTTATCTAATGACATGCCATGCTTATATGTTGACTGGGGTTGGGTTAGACTTAATGCATCTCTTAGGTTGGGTTTCTATGCATAACACTCATCATGACATGGGATTCTTGAAGAAAAAATTTTGTAGTTGGTATTTTTGGTGTATGGATTTTTGGGTTGTTACAGCTGGTGGGCCGGACTGACCCGGACACATGGCACGCTGTGGTACTGCCACGTCTCATCCATGGGCTCTTATTGGGCTGTGGTCCACGGCTAGTGGTCTACGGTGGACCAAGAGATGCTGGTCCATGGACCGCAGACTGGTCTACGGTGGACCGAGTCCACCCTTCGTCTCCTAGGCGTGGTCCATGTGCACTGGGTGTATGCGCGGGTTGCCGGCAGGGGGGTGTTCCCCTGTTTCTCCCACGGCCGTGCTCTTGCCGACGGTGAGCTTGCTGGTGAGCCTCCGTGGCGGTGCTAGTGCGCAATTGACACGGGTGGAAGCTCCGCCGAGCCTCGGCGTCTTTATTGGTGGGGTCACCACGGCGTGCGGGGTCCCGTGGTGTGCCGGCCATGGCGGCAGTCTTCCTGGCACGACGGCGGCGCCGGTGAGGTGGCTACGACCACGGTGAAGCGTCCAGGGGGGCGTGTAAGCTCCTACGGATCCATGGGGACGCGGCAAGGGCGTCCAAGGCGGGGCTTCGGGCTTCCAGGTGGCCGGTAGGGGCTTCCCGGCGGCCACGGCGGTCATGAAGACGACGGCGAGGCGCACGGGTGAACCAGGGGCTCCAGCGGGGTGGTCACGACGTGGTCGTGGGTGTGCGCGTGGGTGCGTGTGTTCCCAAGGACCGGAGACGGCCTTGGCCTACGCGCTCCCAGTGTGGAGCGCCATGGCCGATAAGGTGAGGTCCAACGGCGGGCAGGGAGAGACCGGGAGGGGGCTCACCGTTGGTGTCGACGGCGATAGGGTGGCGATGCAGTGACGGTTCGAGGCCGTGTAGCTCCGGAAGCCGTGCAGTGCCGACCCGCGACCGTGATGACGACGACGGCGTCGCCCTCGGCTCCGACGACTTCGGCAGCACGCGGGGACTCCTTTTTCCTCTATCCCCTCTCTCTCTTGGCTCTCTCTCTTGGCTCGGGTGAGCGATGGACGGCCACAAGGTGGCGGCGGGGCACAGGAGAGCGCTTGGGCATCCGAGGCTGGGGTTTTTATAGCCGAGCTCATCCATGGAGCTCGGTGGACGGCGGATGGAGAACTAGGGGCGATCGGAGGGCTTCTAGCGAGGCTGGGCTAGGGTTCTGGGGCCGTGGCGCGGTCGTGGGCGCGGCGCCAAGGGGGAGACAGGGTCATGCTCCCGGCGTGACCCCTGGCCCGCTCCTGCCATCGCTGTCGGGACTTGGTCGGAGAAGAATCGACGTGGGGAGGAAGAAAGCACTGTTGTCGGAGATGGCTGACGGGTGGGGTCCGTTGGCAACGGCTGCGGGCGAAGCAAAAGGGGCGCGCGGGTGAGCAGCGCGCGGGGCTGGTCGCTGGGCTGCTGGGCCTGCGCGAGCTCGTGGGCCGGCCTGCTGCTGCGCGCTGGCGGGGCTGGCCGGTTGCTGGCTGGGCCGTGAAGCCGAGCAGGCCGAGCCGGCTGCGAGGCCCTCTTCCTCATTTCTTTTTTTCTGTTTTCTTTTTCTTCTTCCTTGATTTGAATTCAAATTTGGTTTGGATATTTGAATTCAAAATGGGTGCACCAAATTCATTGGAGTTTTAGATATGAGGCCCACTACATTCTTTTATACATATTAGGAATTTATTTAGCTAATTGTATATCAACATAGGTGTAGTTTGTTATATATAAATATAGAATTAGTTTTCTCTTTTTACACATTTATCCTTTGGTTTGAATAGTAATTACTTTATGGTGTGTTTCTTTAAAATAAGTTGTTAAGCATAACATAAAGCAATTGGAAATTCAAATCACAAGTTGAGTTAACAATATATGCCATGCTTCGTTGGATAGTATTTAAATATGCATGATTAACAATGGCATGCCATGCTTATGTGTTAATTTGGGTTGGGGTTAGACCTAATGCATCCCTTAGGTTGGGTTACTATACATGACACTCATCATCACATGGGAGTTTTAAGAAAAAAAATTGTAGTTGGTATTTTTAGTGTATAGATTTTTGGGTTGGGTACATGCATACACATTCGGAACTTCACATATGCTTCATGCAGCCATTTTGTGAGGCTATGTGTGCTCGAAACGGTGATCACTGTCCCGTTCATACATCCTGGTGTTGTACCATGCCTGTTTAATGATACTTGTTGGCAAGCAGCTGAGAATTGTGACGTTGAAGGGTTGGCCACAAGAAGTTCGTTGGAAGGGACGAAAGAGCTCGTCAAATCACATCGACCAATTGTAAACATGATAGGTCCGAGGTATCACCTCTACCAAACGGCACCTGGATCGACGGGCCCCACTGGGATCCTATGAATGATTGAACCTTTTTTTTAAACAAGAATGATTGAACTTTTTAATCGGACATTCCATCGTGGTAGTCTCCTCTCGATCCACTACGCGACGCAGCTTGCAGCTGACAGCACCAGAGAGAAGGTTGCCGGACAGACATGGGAGAAGCGGCAGGCCGCGAGCGCCCGCCGTGGCGCTGCACGGTGGCCGTGCAGGCCGCGCTCTGCCTCGCGCTCTACGCGGCCTTCAGCCTCGGCGAGCCGCAGCTCATCCCGCGGGGCGGTGGCGCGGGTGGGGTGGACGCACTCGGGCGGGGCGCGCGCGGCAGCCGCGGCGGCGTCGCCTTCCTCAGCGTCGCTGGCGGCGCCAGGGGACCCATCGAGCAGGCCAGGCTCCTGAGGCAGGTGCGCGCGTTTGCACTCACCTACTCCGGGATCTCTTCTTCTTCACGCTCACGCGCACCTTCCGGCGCCTGGTTCCACTGGTGCCTGGTGGGAGTGGTGTTCTTCATTTGGTTCCCCCTGTTCGCGACTTGGCATTGTCCCTTTTCCGGCATTTTCTCAGAGGTCCTCTGGTCGACCTCACCAGCTCACCTCGTCTCCCCTTCGTCTTGTCAACGTTTGTGTGGTTGCAATTGCAACTCGCACACGCATGGCATCGAGCCTGTCACTGACGGAACTGAAACCGGGTCTGATCACCACGGTAGCCTTCTTATACAGCGCGTCACAGTAAATTTGATTAGTGCTTATTGCTGAGTAAATCTTCCACGGAAAATGTCGAGTGCGTAACCAGGAAGAGTTCATCCGTCGTCGGTTGAACCCAGGGAATTCATTCAGAAATATGACTTCCTCATTCTGATAACGATTTGCTCATGTAGTTGCGTGCATGCTCCCGTGCTTCTGACCAGCAATGCGTTCACCCAGATAATATAATACATGGAGGTATGATGGCCTACACATGCGCAGATTCAAGATTGGTATTACTCTATAACCATGCCAATGGACTTACCTGGGTCTTGGATCACGGCACATGCGCATGTGCTTTCCGATGAGGCGCATGTGCCTCCTGATCACGCTTTCACTGAAATCACCAATCAGCACTGAGCTATCCTAAACTGCAATCTTTTATTGTGATTGTGCCCCACCAATCTACTCCGTAATTCCGTATGTATTAGTTAACGCCACACAACTTAGTTCTGATTTTCCACTAGCCCGTTTTGGCATATTTTGCCGCTGATCGAAGCAAAAGTCTGTCTTTGGTGATCCTTAGACACTGTTGATCGACAATCTAGCCCTTTTTCTTCCGTTGGCTTAAAAAAATGCACCAAGGAAGAATGTATTTTCTACAAATCTTTTCTAGATTTGCCTTTTTTTTAATAGAAACTGTTATCCATGAAGATGGAGACCATAGCAAAGGCTTATGAGGTCAAGTTCGTGCTGGATGTTGCTCAACTGGGAGAGGATGATCCACTCTGGCAAAATGTAAGTATTTAGTGCTAATAATGTTGGGCTCATGTGTAATTTTACTTGTCCATTGTCATTGTAACATTTAAGTGAATCAAATTCTCAGCTTTATAGTTTCTTTCTTTCTTTCTTTCCTATTTTTAGGGTTCCATGTACTTCCAAGCTCTGAACATCCCGTGGTAAGCTAGTAGTTCCTGGTTCATACATGTAAACCAACTTAATAGTGAGGAAAATGTAGCTCAATAGTTCGATGTACTGCCCAAGGTTCGTCCTCTTCTGTGTGTACATTAAAATTGCTTCTCCATAAGGTACTCCACTAAGTCATCACATGGGCGAACAGTTGGTAACCTTTTTAAGAAAGTGAAGATGCCCTACGATCAGGTTCTAGATATTATTGGTCTGGACACATGGCCTCTGCAGGTATTACATCTCGAGCACCTTTGAGTTTATTCTAGCAGGCAACCATCTGATAAACAGAAACGTTATATACGCCGGCATTTATGGATTCTTATACATTGATTTGTAACTGTTTTTACAAGGAGCCTCTACATGACGGCAAGATAAGCACTTCTTACAGGGGACAGACAAAATGGTTGGATCAATCACTAGCGCTCACTGACAGCAACTGGTAAGTGCTTACTAGCAGTTGTCCATGTTTTTTGTGTGCAAACTCTTTTGTATTATTGTTGGAGATGCTAATATGTAGTCTATAGACATGCATATATGAGTTTTTTTTAGAAGACATGCATATATGCTTAAATCATCAAGAGACTGAGTTAGCATTATAGAGTTTAGCATTGAAGAATTAAGGTATCTTCACAAACTTTAAACATCCATAAGAAATAGTAAAATTACCCTTTTTAGTTGAATTTATGCCTTTATGCTACTTATGGAGATTCATGCATGGGTTATTGTCTGTAACCAAAATGCTCACATTCTTCTTCTTTAAGACAGGAAAATAGTTGTTGGATATAATCCATTACTTGTTTGCAATGGGGAGGAAACACCAGAAACCACAAAGCTCTATGTGCCAATTCAACGCATTTTTGCAAAATACGAAGTGGTAACTCGTGTTCTCTTCATTGATGGCATTTGTTTTTTTTTTCAAATTAATGATTGCTATAACTTAGTTCCCTCTATACGATACAGAATGCATACATAAGCATGGGTGGGTTTTGTGGTTATTTCCACCGAGACAACTCAATATTGTACATCGGACATCCCAGCCGTGGCGTTGACCAAACAAGTGTAGATGGTTTTTTCTTGCACAGAGTTAGACCCCTCGAGATGGTGAGTTCATGACTCTGTGCGATGCTTCCCCTTCTTTATCCCAATATCAATGAAACAATTAAATTTCCATTTGATTTTCATTTGGCAAAATGTGGCAGGAGTCAATGTTGATCAATGTAGAAGGCAAGTTGGTTCAGAGATCTGTTGTTCAGCAGCATGGAACGGGAGCCATGTGAACCTCATGACTTTCAGTTTCTGTTCCATTATGTCATAGCACCGAACAAAGGCCACATACCATTGTATTGGATTCATCCAGTTCAAAAAAACTGCATTAGATTTGTTTCACTTCGCCTGTTTCAACATGTTTTATTTTGTAGTAAGGAACTTTAGGTAGCCTTAAACATTTACAACAAACAAGAGTTCACTATCAAATAGAGTGCTGCCCAAGCAGGGCACGAGCAGTTAATACATTCTTTTTCTTGTATCTGCTGGTGCTGTGCCTGTTGATCTCTCAACAGAAGTCCCAACTACAGTCGGATTTGTTTCAGAAGTTTTAGATAATGGTTGCAAGGCTGTAACTGTCGTTTTGATGATTCCTAAGGCCCAAACTATTCCATTTTCTTTTATCTTCTACAAAAAACTAAAGTCAGAACTCAGAAGGATACGGTTGGTGTTATAGCAGTTCCTTTGGAGCCTGACTAACAAAGAATATGTGAAATTGTGAATTCACAGCTCCAAAGGTGGCTTTGGCCATCACGGCCTTCTTTTCCTCCCGGGCTCTGCCGCTCTGGGAGGAGCTGGGATGTACCTTTGCCTAATTCTTTTGCTACCTGAGCTTCAAAAAAAAAAAAATCTTTTGCTACCTCATATAGTTTTTTTTTCATGAGATCTTGATATTTAACATCAAATACGCTGGACTCACTTACAAATTGCTTTTAGAATTTTCAGAACTCACAAATTGCTTCGACCGTTTCCTCTCTCTTTTTTTTTTCCCTTTTTACAGCCCTTATGAAATGCTATTTATGCCCTACCACACATTCTCTTATGCATGCACACCCTAGACAGATTACTCTAAGCAACTACTGTGGTTCGCTGAAAAGGCAGACTGAAAACTACTGTTCGCTGATAAGCCAGGCTGAAGCGAACAGGGCATAAATTAATTTCATCAGAACCTCCGTGCCCTATAAATTAAATGAAATAGATAGCATATAGGATATTCATAAGGGATTCCAGCATTTTAAACAAGCCTTAAAATGCATCTAACAAACAGTTTAGTACTTGCAAAAAAACGAGAGCCTCAAGGGCTCAAGGCTCACACCCTTTTTTGAAAAGCGATGGTGTTCTAGGACAAATTAAAACGCATGCGGCGTCCAGTTGGCTGTGTCTTCCTGGAGCAGTTCCCGGGTACGGAAGTTTTTTTTTTTCCCCAACAATATATTCGAATCCAAATGGAACACATATATCCAGTGCAGCTTGTTGCAAGAGCTGTACTTGCAGTAGATGCAATTCCTCTTGATCGCTGGAAACTCCTTTGCAGAGAGGGCAAACGTGTCACCTCCGCGCGGGGAAACTTCAGTGAGTGACAAACCCTCTCTCTCGTGGACCTGCAAGCCTTGGTTCGGCGTCCACGGCAGCTGTTGACTGCCAACGTCCAACGATTGCGGGGGTTTCTTCAGTGCAGCTCGCCATTGCACGCGACCAGTTGAACCCCCACACACCGCGTATTGAGCTCGTTCACTACGAAGCACGCATTGAAGATCGGAATACACCTGGGATCAATTCCACTGTTGAGATCACAGATGGTAACACAATCTCTTGTTGGCTGTCAGCGTAGTATATGTGAGATGTGAATTGACAACTCCTCCACCTTCTGATTTCAGAGGCCTTGTGGCTTTAGCCTTCACATGACTGAATTCAGTTAGGGCTATGGCAATATATTGGCTACTTGTTCAATGTGTGCAGCAGGTCCACAAACTTGAATTCAGTCAGTCTGCTAAAATCATCGTTCCCACAAGTATTTGAACTGCTAGCAAGCAATTCGACTTCTAGAGACAGAATTGAAGTATCTAGCTATGAAACCAGGCACAAATTCCACGAGAAATTTTATAGCATGACAAGGTCAAAAATAATTATCATTAATTAAATAAGATAATAGTCTCATACAAGGGGCATAGTCCATCTGATACTGTTGTGGTATCGAAATGCCCAGCAAGGGACATCAATCAAGTAATTCTAAAAAAAAGAATAACATCAACTCAGCAAGCACGAGCGACAAAGTTGATCACAGTGGAGTTTCAACAAACCTAAAAGCTAATTTGAGTAACATAAGCAGCATCTTCAAAGCTCCCACTCGCCTAGAATTTACCAGTACTTAGGCAAACACAAGCAACACCATCACAACAAGGTGAAATGTGCAGAACAATATCATCCCCACCTACTATATTGCTCTGGAACAGCAAAGCACTTGCTGTTCAAACATGATAGGAGGTTTTACATGGAGGAATTACATATTCAATAGATTCAAGCCATAATGGAAACAAAGGCGTTACACCAATATGTGACTACATATCTATCACCACTAGGAAAGCGAAATTGCCACAGGGCAAGCAGCTTCTTTCAAGGTCGCACCAAGGCGAACAAAGGATGGTTCCATATGTTGAAAAACCACGTCATTTCTATGATTCCAGATCTTCCAGGACAGCAGCAACAAAAACACATGATACTGTTTGGCAGGAATAGATTCTGGTCTTCTCACATCCCATAGTAGTCATACCGAGGCATTGTCCACTGAAAAACCCATTTTTGTCCAGATATTTGCAGCAAAGGGACACCTAAATATCAAGTGATCGGCACTTTCTGATGCTTGCTTGCACAGCTTGCAGTTGTCATCTTCTACAACTGATTTCTTCTTCAGGTTTGCTCGGCACTGGATTCTTTCTTGGATCAAAAGCCCGAAGCACACCATCAGCAGTGGCAAATGGGCAGATACGGTTATCTGGCCTGTCTTCAAGCACTATCTCAGTGATAATACTTAACACCTGTTTCAACTCTCCTGCAGCCATTCTCGAAAGGCGTAGTACCAAGAATTCATGAATTTCTTTAACCTTTGCATGACTGACGAGGTTAGGGAAGCAAGCAGCTAGTGGCACCTTCCCTGTCCAGCAGTCATTCCAAAAGTGTCGCCCGGCCATCACCCACGTCTACAAAAGTGATACTCTGGTACAGTGGAAGAAGTAAGCGCAGCGCCTCCCAATGAGGACCAACAGCATTCTCACCTTTCAAAATGCTCAAATCCACTTCTTCATGTGCCCACTGAGCCCACTGATGGAGAAGTTTCAGCAGCAAGCATTGGTTTTGAACAGCAAGGTCGTTCACTCCGAGCCGCCCTTTTTCTTTCGGCATGCACACCTAATTCCATGCAACTAGGCATCTAGCCCCATTGGTGCAGTTCTTCCCTGACAAAATAAAGGCTCTTCTTTTCTGGTCTAAGGATTCAATAGTTCCTGCAGGAAGAAGCATAGCTGCCATGAACTTGTCTTCCTTTGGGGTCCAGGAACATCGCTTGCCTTCCCGCGAGCTGTTCATCTGCTCTTGCAATCAATGGAGCAAATACTGACAAATTGAGCTCGACATCAGAGAGGGGGAGCCCCAGGTACACCTGAGGGAAACTGTCAACTTTGCACCTAGCTCTGCACTCTGCTTCAGAACTGCGCATTGGCACCAAGGTGCGTTTGTGGTAGTTGATCTTCAGGCCTGTAGCAGCTGAGAATTGGTCCAGGAGGGATTTGAGTGTCTGAACTGCGCCTAGCTCTGCAGGGATAAGTAGCAGTGTGTCATCCGCATATTGAAGAATGGGGCAGCTCCTATCCGGTGCAAGAGGCTGGGAGATAGAGCCATCGTGATTGAATGGGGCAGCTCCTATTTGGCGCGTTTACAGGGAAGTCCCAACCTTTGGGCACAGTGGTTGAATCTCCCGGGCAAATGACAGGTTTTAGGACTCTACAGGGCAAAACAGAAGCTAAAACTCGGCCCATCACCCAAATGGATTGCAAACCACTCGTAAATATCAACAGGTGCTCAGCAATATGCAAGATTCAGTTATTCCTTTCATCCGTCATTGGTAAAAGAACAAGATACCTGGTAAAAGAATGACTCGTAAGAAAGGTCGGAAGTGAACCAACAAAAACGTGTGCTAAGTATTATGATTTTTCAGATTTTAGAGATGTTGAACCTGGCTCATGATGTAAATTAAGCTGTGATGTGTATGTAGTATTCTTATCTTAACATGGCCTAAGTAGCAGAAGTAACATGTATACCTGTTTGCTTCACTGGGGCAGCGAGAGTCTGCCACGATGCTTCCCATCAGTCAAAGCACACTACGACATTAGCTCCAGTTCTGTAGTAACTAGTAGCAAACAGGACGAGGCTTCTCCGTGACCCATACCTATCAAAAATCATACTCGCCATCCTATGGATCAAAGGAGAAACAACACCACAGATGATTCAGACTTGTAACTCAAACAGCAGATGTACTTAATTTTGTTTAATAATGTCATAAAAGATAAAGAATCAGCTACTAGCGATCTAAAAACTAAGCAAAATCATCAATCCAAGGCTGCCTTGGAGTTGTTGAACCACCGGTGCTCAAGCGCTTCCGCCGCGGTCAGCCTCTTTTCCGGGCAGAAGGTCAGCAGGCCTGTGAGCACATCACGCCCATCCTCCGACAGTTTTGCCAAGCACTCTGGGTCGAGCTTTCCCGAAGCAGAGGTCATCCTATCTCGCGACTCGGACATTTCGGCAGTCATCTCGTACTCGCTCTCTTCTTGGAACAGGGTCGCACCGCTTAGAAGCTCCGCCATAACGCATCCGAGCCCCCACATGTCGACAGCCGGGCCGTAGTACCAATTGCCGTCGAGCAGCTCCGGCGCGTTGTACTGCAGCGTCCCGACGGGGTATGCCTCATGCGGCTTCCCATCGGGCTTCTTCCGCGTCGCCGACCCAAAGTCACACAATTTGAGCTCGCCCAGAGGGCAGACAAGGATATTGTCAGATTTAATATCCCGATGGATGAAGCCAAGACCGTGTACCTTCTTCGCAGCGCCGATAAGCTGCCTCATCATCTCGCGGATCGCGTCCTCCGACGGGGTCCTCCGGAAGTAGTCGCGGAGGCTCAGCCCGCCCCGGATCAACTCCAAGACGAGATGCACGTCTCCGGTCTTGGGGTCGACGGCGACGC